TCAGCTGACATTCTGTTAGTCAAAGACATGATAAAAATTGGTGTTCTAAAAGTATAATGGCCTAAAGGTTCTATGAGTGTTGACGAAAATGGAGTTGAGGACCTTGATCCCACAAGCCCAACTCTCTTGGTGAACAGCAGTGCCCTGAGCCTGAGGGCAGATGGGCTATGACAGGCCTCTGCTGCACACAGAGGAACTGGAAGTCTGTGAAGAGTTCAGTTATTTGGCAGAAGTGCCCTTCCTTGGTGCGGAGTCCACCCTGAAAGCCATTTAGCAAAACCATTACAAAGATGCCAAAACCACACCCCATCCACTAGCAGTGTCTGCTAGTTTCCGGGTGCCACACTGCCACTTTAGGCTGAGCCCTGTCTAGCCTAGATTATACCCAGCAAATCTAATTAATATGGATTAGAACCTACACACACACACACACACACAGAAAGAAAGAGAGAGAGAAACAAACAAACAGACAGACAGACACACAAATCGAGGAAAGAAAATATGACCAGGAAAGGGAAAAACCTCCAAAGAGGTGAATATGAAAAGAATCCAGGATCTGACCCAGATGTGCCAGCTCAAAGAAGAAGTGCAGGAGCGACAGAAAGACTACAGTCACCAACACTGAGACTGCTAGGTGTGTAACATCCATCATTCATTTAATCCTTCCAATTCCATCTTATAGACTTTAAAAACAGGCTTTAAAAACTTTTTGAATGTTGGTCAAAGTCACAGAGCCAACACGCAAATCAATTTAAAGCACAGTCTGCCTGTAAGGTTGTGCTCTCAATTACCACACTACCCTGTGTCTCCACAACGTAATCCACGCCATTAAACACCAACCAGAGGGGGAAGGATCTGGGCCCATACCTTGCACTCTTGAGTGTATTCCAGCTGAGAACTATCTGGGATAAAATTAGAAAAATCCTGAAAGAAAAAAACAACAAAGAAATTTGAATCAGGCTGCACACTGCCAACCTACTCTGGTCTACAGAAAAACAAAAGAAAAAGACAAATTTTAAAAGTGAGCAGGAAAAAAACTGACAAAAACCTTAAGATAGGAACCACAAAAAGACCTCTTTGGACAATCTGCCTCTTTAATAGCAGCAGGTTGACGATTCAATTTTTTAAAAAGAGTTAATCCAAATATTCAGTTAGGGTTTAGAAAATGATTTTGAAAATTCATTTCTCAAATGATTGATTTCAGAGAAATGTACCACGCCACATTTTACATGAAGCTTTCCAAAAATTTTAGCAATTAATACCAATGTAAGGAAATAGGAATCTGCCTCTCTTTCTCAACAGCTTTTTCTCTACTTTACAAATGGCAATGGTGAATATTTATAAAGACTAAAATGCCAACAAGCTGCTCGAACTTTGAATATCTGTTCCTATTAGATCAAGCAAAGATGAGAGAAGTGAATAAATGGAGTTACTCTGGTAAGGCTAATTTATAAAGTAGCCAAAAATATACCTTACATAATCTATGGTGCTAGTTATTAATCAATACAAAAGATGTGTGGGGTTGCAAATACAATGCAACGTAACGTATAGTTTCCATGACATTACAATAATAAACAGTTCCTTTAACACTGGAATTCTGCAATTCATTCTCTTCCAAATGTACTTCTAACGTCCTTTCTTTATACTGTATTTAAAGATATGTCTTACCACAGTCTTTGAGGTCCTTTGAACAGCTAGTATCTTATTTTCTAAGGAAAACTTAATGCACTTCACTTCTCCTTTGTCTTCCATTCTTTAAAAAGAAAGAGTATGTCGAAAGTTAAACTTAATAACTGAATTCTAGCTTCTATCATTTTTTAAGAAGAAAAAAGGCAAGTTAAATATTCAGGAAGCAGCAAATCTTAAACTTATGTTTCAAAGCTATCAGCAGAATCTCTTTTCAAAAAACAAAACCCAACTGGCAACAAGTTCCTGGAGAAGTTTACAGTACTGCAGATAAAAAGTGATGAAAGAACTGAGATCATTACACTTTCATGTGAGAATTATTTCAGACATAAATAATGCAAACATATCTCGTTTTACTGCACTTCGCTTTCCTGCACCTTACAAATGTTGCATTTTTTACAAATTTAAGGCAAGACCCCCTCTCCCCCGCCACCCCCACCAGCAAAAAGATTACAACTCACTCTATTTTGATACTCGCTTTATTGCAGTGGTCTGGAACCAAATTCATCGTATCTCCGAGGTATGCCTTATCCACACAGGAACCTCAACAAACTACTGCCTTCTCTCTCCATCATTCTCACAGCAAAGCTTTTAAAAGTGTCCTTTCCCACTCACTACCCTATGGACTCAGCACAGCCCCACCTTGAAGTCTCACAACCACCTCAAAGGAAAGTCATGAGATGGATTACAGAAGAGCATGAGGGAACTTTTGGGGGTGTGAGATATTATCTTGATCTTGGTGATGGTTTCATGGATATACTGTACACACATGTCAAAACTCACCAATTACATGTTAAATATGTGCAGTTAATTATACCACAGTAAAACTATTAAAAATAAAATGTTTTTAAAAGAAGATTAATTCAGTATCTTCTCCCTCAAACCCCTCTAAGGCCCCAAATCAGGACCATCATAGGCCCAATCTCATTTTGACCACTGAGTCCTACCAGAAACCTTTCTAAGCACCCCTTGAGTGCCTGTGCGATACCAGCCTACACTGCCTTCGTCTATCTTCACCATACCTAGCTCCGACTATTGCAATCGTCTCAGTGGTGTCTCCGATTCTGATCTGCTCCCAACTAATCCAGCCTCAAGACTGTGAACAGCATGATCTTTCCAAACACTGATATGATTGTGCCACGACCCACCTTGGAAATTTTCAGCAACAAGAAAAGCCCTAATTCCACAGCAAAAAATGTAAGGTTCAAGCCAGCCCCTGCCAGTGGCCATAGCATCACCACTTCCCCGTCCCTGCATGGACACCTGATCTTCAATTACACAGAGCTGGAGTTCCCCACACATCATGCTTGCTCGCCTTTGCACCTGGTGTTCTCTTCAACTGGAAGGCCTCCTCTCTTCCCCACCTGGAATCATTCCATTCCAGCCCTCAAGTTTTGTTCAAAGGCTACCTCCTGTCTGAGGCCTTCCCCTTCTTATTCCAAAATTAATGTCACATCTCTCCTGTGTGCCTGCATTCTTGGTACAGCACTTGTCACAGTAAATAGTATGAATCTCCCACACTAAAGGTATGAGCTCTCCAAAAGGGCACCAGGCTAATTCATGAGAAGGTATGTCTGGTGCACACCACAGGTGCTGCAATCAGTGTCTGACCAAAACGATGTGTGATTCATTTTCTACTTCAAAACTACTTCAAAAACTGTTTCTTATCAACACAGGCCAACTGTAAAAATAATTTTAAACTCACCACCGAATTGAAGGCCTACATTGTACTTTTCTGTAATTACAGGGGTTACAGTGACCAGATAGTTTATTACCCAAATGGAGATACTTCTGAAAATCAAAGAAGCTGCTACTCATAATTATGCTGGTTCAACTTGTGTTGGGATTTTCTTAATATACATTACTACATGGGAAGCACTGACCCAGGAATCTCCTCCATCTTCCAAACACTCTGGATAGACCTGGGCCAAATAAGGCAATGAAGGTCCTCCTGGGTCAATAATGCATTGATTTGCTAACTTCGACTACCAGGAAATAGGTCCCAAATCAACAGGGAACTACTCCACATATTTCACTGTGACAGGAAGTACTAGCATGTGCCAAGATTGCAGAGCAGGTGTTCTGTACACCTCTCCCTACAGACAGGGATTTGTACACACATGCACACTGTTCAGTCCTCTTAGGGGAGGCAATGGACAAAACTGTAAAACCACCGTATTAATGAGAAACAGAAAAACACTTTCGTTTACATGTTGAAATTATTCTGTTACCTAAATGAGATGGGACTCCTATCATCTGGGCCTTTAACTACCACTCCAGTAGCTCCTCCAGAGCGAACAGCAAAAACCTGAGAGAGAAAAGAAGCAATGTTAATGGTCTGAATTTTGAAAGAGTCTAGACACATATACCAATCTACAAGTGAATATATCTGCTACACCCAACCCTTGGTTCAACTAAACCAACGTGGCACATATCAATCTGCAGATGCTTGGTGTTTACATGGAGTTTAAGAAACGAAAGTAGAGACCAAAAAGGCTAGCATTTCAAGTACTGCCCGCACTGCAAGACCAGGTCGGAGGTCTACAAGGCTCCAAGTATTAATCCGATTCGACAAAGGCGCGGTTTAAGCACACCCTGCTACTCCTGCTTCCCCTCGCCCCTTTCCAAAATTCCGAAGATAATGAAAATCTCATGTCTAAATCCAACAAAAGGCGCCAGGAAAAGACTAGCGTGCTAACAGTTGACCACAGTAGCCAAAGGGCGCTGGGTCCAAGGCGCCGGCTTGGGGTCCACCCAGCTGTCAGTTTGGGAAAGAAAGCCCCGGGCGCTGTGGAACCTGGTCCCTCCGCCCACCCAACAGGAAAGCGCTGGCGCGGGTCCTACGCCGGGGCGCGAAAAGAGGCCCCAGGCCGGGTCCCCCGGCACCCGGCCTGGGCGCGGGGG